GTTCTCAACATTGCAATTGAGGAATATTTCACTTTTATGAAGTATATGTCTAGGTTTAATGAGTATATTCGAAAGAAAATGAAGTTGTTCACAGTCGAGTCCATCGCAGAAGCGAGTGTGAAAGCTATTGCCATTGAAGGCAAGCAAAAGAAGGGCAATGAGATGAAGGGAGAATCCAAGTAAACTGGAGGCAAGTCTAGTGGCTCTCAACCAAAGAGGGAGAAGAAGAAGGGTGACCCAGGGAAGGCATGTTTGACATGCAATCCCTGCAAGCAGACATGACACACTGCTGATCGGTGTTGGGAGAATTATTGTAACGCCCCTCAGGGAGGTACATAAAAATTTGGGCATGACCTGTCTGTAATAAGAAGGATCGACCTGCTAAATCTTTATGTACCTCTCTCTCTCTCTCTCTCAAATGAAAGCAGCGGTCCCCTGAAAATCAAAATCCCCAAATCCCCTCCGACGACGAATCCCCAAATCCACACCGACGACGAAGCTCGCATCTCGCCCGACGACGAAGCCCTATTCTCGCCCGACGACGAATCCCCAAATCCACACCGACGACGAAGCTCGCATCTCGCCCGACGACGAAGCCCTATTCTCGCCCGACGACGAAGCCCTAATCTCGCCGCGAGCTCCGTCGTGACAAATACGTTGGCCAACTCCTTCTCGAGCTCGACGTCGGACCCCCAAATCGGACCAACACCGCTTCGCCTCCCTCCTAACGTCGGACCACCAACGTCGGACCCCCAAATCGGAGCTCGCTGTAATTTCCGACCACCGCGAGACCCCTCCTCCCTTCCTCCTCCGCCACGACTACGAAGTCTGAGCTCGATCTTAAATCTCCCAACTCAGGTAATGATCAAGCCCCAACTGTTGTACTTCTCAGCAGAATATTACGACTCACTACGAAGGTGCGTTCATCAACCAACTCCTCGACGAAACCCTAATTTCTTATTTTCAGTTTACAAAATTTTCAGTTCATCAACCAACAATTATCTGAATCATGTTTAGCAGTGAATTAGTATTTCATATAATGTGTGATCACAGTGCTTGTGAAATTTTCTGGGTTTGGAATGTTGAACAATTATCTGAATGTTGTTTGGAATGTTCATCAACCAACAATTTTCTGGGTTTGTAAAGTCCACGGATAGTTCATGATGATAAAGACAAGTGACAACAATTCATTTACCCCCAATTACTTTCTTTATGGTTCATACGGACATAGTTTGGTGATCCACATGATGTGCTGATAAGGGTGCAATATCAAACTTCTGACCACATATTGGAATATCAGATGTAGAGCTTCACAATGTTTTTACTGAATAACTAATTTGAACCATATATAACCGCTTCATATTTCTGGAGTTCATTTTCATATTCTTAATTCCGACTGACTCGCACATTACTGTTTGCATATTTCTAACCACAATGGCTGTCCTTGACTTTCTCGAAGGCTATATTTCTTGGTAATGGTCTTATTGCCATTGTCTCTGGGTTGTTTGCATAATTTTGGAATATTTGAGATTGGTAACTGGCCAAAAATTGAAGGAAACAAGAACTATGTGAATTGCTGTTTGTTTTTCTTCTTAATTGCTGTTTGTTTTTCTTCTGAATTATCGTTTAATGCTCCAAGTAGTCTCAAATTGTAGTACATCCATGAATTGTTTGTTTTTGTATTCGTCTACATCTTTGAGCTTTTCTTCTTATGATTCGGAGTCAATTTATCTCAAACTGATATCTGTTGTTTGAATCAGGTTTGTTTATGAAGAACCTGTTGCTTATGGGATGGAAGCAAGTTTGTTTATGAAGAGCCTTTTGTGTTTGCTTATGAGGAACCTGTTGCTTTGTGGTTATGTACAATGTACTTTGCTCGTTGACATTGCTGAAGAGCCAGTTGCTTTGCTTGATACGGGTGTGTCTTCTCTTCGGGAGCTTAGCGATCCTCATAGGTTATGTGCAATGTACTTTGTTCTATCACTAAACTAGATATCATATTAGCCTTGAATCATATCCTTGTTATGTACAATTTCACTTTGAGCCTGTTGCTTTGTGGTTATGTACAATGTTCTATATATGTTGCTGAGTAGATATATGTTGCTTTGTGGTTATGTACACTGTTCTATATATGTTGCTTTGTGGTTAAGTACAATTTCACTTTGAGCTATGTATGCACCTCAACAGCAGCCACAATTTCCCAAGGAGTTGCTGAAATGAAAAAGCAAAAGGCCTCGAAATAGAGTCTAGAATGCTCAGAAAGGAGAGAATTTGGACATGAACTGGAACTCTTCGATGATATGAATACAGTCAATAGAAACCGTGTGAGATTGCAAATACAGCAAACACTCTCCCCACAATTTCAGAGTTTGATGCCGCTGCAACTGAGTTCCCCACCTGACAGTCAGTAAAGCTTACTAGAAACATTATATATTTCAGGTGATAGCTTCATTTCACTTGCAAAATAATGGTTGGCAAAAAAAAGGAACTTAATGCTACTCAAGTTGAAGTCTGAAAGTTAACTAATGCAATGGAGTAGTAATTCTTTCCATAAACGAAACTGATCAAAATGGATTTTGATCTTCTCAGCTATCATTTAAACACAGTCATCTGACAATATTTACAATATTTACTTGCATGTTTACAACTCGAGTCCCAGCAGAAAATTCAGCAACACCATAAACTTGCATGTTTACAACTCAAGTCCCAGCAGAAAAATCAGTACACATTACAATACATTGCAATCAAACATAAACAACTAGGTAGTTAAATGTTGACAATAATCAGACCACTCCTGATTCAAGCTCCTAGTTAACACACCCCTGATTCAAGCTCCTGATTCATAAGCTCCTGATTCAAGCTCCTGATTCAAACAACAGAAATCAGTTTGAGAAACATATAAGCTTTTGAAGTAAGTTAGGTAATTATTTAAAAAAATAGTATTATTGAAGTAAGTTAGCAAATCTGTTATTGAAATCAAGCGAGGGAAAAAAGAGGTAAAAGCCTTTGTACATCACAAATCAAAAGCATATACTTGGATCTAATTACTACTGCTTTTCAAAGGAGTCCTGACAGTCTTATGCTACGTAGTTTTTCTCCGCTTGGAAAGACTACTAGATCCTCAACACAATAAGAGACACCCAGTATATGCAGAAGCGGACCATCCAAGTAATAGGTAGACTTTCTTTTAATTTTTCAGCCATTGTGGTTAGAAATATGCAAACAGTAATGTGCGAGTCAGTCGGAATTAAGAATATGAAAATGAACTCCAGAAATATGAAGCGGTTATATATGGTTCAAATTAGTTATTCAGTAAAAACATTGTGAAGCTCTACATCTGATATTCCAATATGTGGTCAGAAGTTTGATATTGCACCCTTATCAGCACATCATGTGGATCACCAAACTATGTCCGTATGAACCATAAAGAAAGTAATTGGGGGTAAATGAATTGTTGTCACTTGTCTTTATCATCATGAACTATCCGTGGACTTTACAAACCCAGAAAATTGTTGGTTGATGAACATTCCAAACAACATTCAGATAATTGTTCAACATTCCAAACCCAGAAAATTTCACAAGCACTATGATCACACATTATATGAAATACTAATTCACTGCTAAACATGATTCAAATAATTGTTGGTTGATGAACTGAAAATTTTGTAAACTGAAAATTTTGTAAACTAAAAATAAGAAATTAGGGTTTCGTCGAGGAGTTGGTTGATGAACGCACCTTCGTAGTGAGTCGTAATATTCTGCTGAGAAGTACAACAGTTGGGGCTTGATCATTACCTGAGTTGGGAGATTTAAGATCGAGCTCAGACTTCGTAGTCGTGGCGGAGGAGGAAGGGAGGAGGGGTCTCACGGTGGTCGGAAATTACATCGAGCTCCGATTTGGGGGTCCGACGTTGGGAGGGAGGCGAGGCGGTGTTGGTCCGATTTGGGGGTCCGACGTCGAGCTCGAGAAGGAGTTGGCCAACATATTTGTCACAACGGAGCTCGCGGCGAGATTAGGGCTTCGTCGTCGGGCGAGAATAGGGCTTCGTCGTCGGGCGAGATGCGAGGTTCGTCGTCGGGTGATTAGGGCTTCGTCGTCGGTGTGGATTTGGGGATTCGTCGTCGGGCGAGACGAGGTTCGTCGTCGGGTGATTAGGGCTTCGTCGTCGGTGTGGATTTGGGGATTCGTCGTCGGGCGAGATGCGAGCTTCGTCGTCGGTGTGGATTTTGGGATTCGTCGTCGGAGGGGATTTGGGGATTTTGATTTTCAGGGGACCGCTGCTTTCATTTGAGAGAGAGAGAGAGCATTTAATTTCGTGAAAAAGTAGCTAGCGGAGTTATTATGAGAGAGAGAGAGCAGCGGAACATTTTTGCAAAAAACCCCTTCTCAACCTCAAGTGCGTACGCATTATCCGCACATGAAATGCTCTGTATATTGCATTTCAGATACGCACTGATGCGTACGAATTCCGCCCGACAATCCATGTGGCTGCGTGCGGTTCGTTTCCTCATTTCCGTGTTGATTTGAAGTTAGCGATGTTTGGGTTTTTTTTTAAAAATCCAAAACTACTACTCTCTCTCTCGTGACCCAATACTCTCAGATCCCTCCCTCCTCCCTCTCTCGATCTCTCTCACGCCGCCCCCCGTGTCTCTTCCCCAGCCCCAGCCCCAGCCCCAGCCACCCAACCCAAAGCCCGCCACGACACCGTCGCCGCCCTCCCGCTGATCTCCCCTACTCTCGCCACGACACAGACGCGCCCGTGCGCTCCGTCGACCCCCTTCCCTTCTCCCGATCCAACTCCTCCGCCGTGAGATCTCGCCGCCGAGCTACTGATCTCGCCGTCGACCCCTTTCTCCTCCTCGAGCCAACTCTTCCACATCCAGCCCCTCCCCTCCCCCAACTCCAGCCCCTCCCCGTTCGACGCCGACGGCAGCTGGTTCGAGCTCTGGATCGGGGGATGCGACAGCTCAGAGGAAGAATAAGAGGCCAAAGTGTGAGTTTTTGTTGGGGTTTTTGATTTTTATGTGTTTAATTTTAATGGGTATCTTTTAGTTTTGTTGATTGTGAGTTACTTTGAGATTGAGATTTTGGGCTAGGGTTTGTTGAATTGGGTATTGTTAGGTTGGTTTGTGTTAGGGTTTTTGTAGTTGCAGGCACAACTAATTTTGCATTTTTATCATTGTTTTCTTATGGTAGACTGACTGACCATCATTGTTGGGACAAAAGTCTATGTTATTGTTCTCATCGTTTATGGCAAAGAGTTAAAGAAGTTTCATATTATTTCCTATTCCTTGCTGGGGCTTTGAAGGCTTTGGTTCAGGTATTCCACTTGAAACAGGTCTGTATCCGCCACGACACCGCCGCCAACACCCACCGTCGGCCGAGAAAATTCCCTCTGGTTCGTATCCGGTTGTTTCCCTCAGCTCCAATTAAGGTAATTTGAATAGGTACAATTAGACCCAAATCAGATTTATATGCCTTAGGAATTATTGCACTACAATTACTGGCAGCTAGGCACCCAAGAGGGTTGCTGATTAATGTGGAAAATGCAATAGAAAGTGGTTCATTTGCTGAATTACTTGACAAATCAATATCAGACTGGCCACTTCTAGAGGCAGAGAAGTTAGCAAAGCTTTCTGTAAAATGATGCAGGCTAAGATGCAGAGACAGGCCAGATTTAGACTCGGAAGTTCTCCCTGAACTGGAGGAGCTTTGCAAAGTGGCTAATGTTTGTTTCAAGTTGAGACAATGCAATGTTTATGCACCGAGCCATTATCTATGCCCAATATTGCAGGTGAAAGGTTTTCTAAAGTAGCATCTTTATGATTTCTCGTTCATCTTTTTCTTAAGGCTTATTTTTATCTTTGGTACCCTAAACTTTACCAATTTTTTAAACTTTGAAATCCCAAAGTTTCAATCTCATGCCATTTTCACATACTCGTCCAAATTTCATTATATTTTTCTGTTAAAATGTATCAAATCTTTAGCACATGATACAGTTAGGTCAACTATACACTTCTGGTGAAAAATTATTTCCCCTACCCCATTCCTAGAATTGCACAAAGTATAACCAGGCCAAGGGCACTTCTGGTGAAAAATTATTTCCCCTACCCCATTCCTAGAATTGCACAAAGTATAACCAGGCCAAGGGCTCATCATCTAAAAAATACCCATAAATATTTACGGGCAATTACTTTTCATGAGAGGGGTATAAATTGACCTTAATGTATTACATGTTAAGCATTTGCTATGGTTTTAACAGAAAGATAGAACAATACTTGCAAGGTATCAAAGTGAAATGGGACTGAAAGTTTGGCCTATCAAAGTGTTAAAAGAAAACTATCATAGTTAAAAAAAGGGGTAAACGCTGGGGTACCAAAGTGAAAATAAGCCTTTCCTTAATAATTCAATTCTGATCATGGTGATACATTGCAGGAAATTATGGAAAATCCCCATATTGCTGCTGATGGATATACTTACGAGTATAGAGCAATTAAAGCATGGCTTGGAAAACACAAGATATCTCCCGTTACGAAGCTCAGGCTTTCGCATACCTGCATAATCCCAAACCACTCTTTGCTATCAGCTATACAAGAATGGAAGTCATCCTCTGGCTTACAACATCCTGAGAAATGAGATTGCTCGATACATGATCATACTCCTGTAACATTTCAACTTCCTCCGAAGTTACAGAGAGCTTGATTAATTTATGATGCAAATCTATCATAAATAACGGTAGCTTGGTCTTTGCATACTACAAGGAAGGCGCCAGTGATCCTACCCTTTTGTACTTCGCCCACGGGCTGAAGGTGTTCAAATGCTAGAGCCTGTTCTTTTCAGAACTCCAAAAGAAGGAGCTTTGTACTCTAATGATATGTTACCTAAATTATCTGTTGCCGCTGGACTTGGGTCTTTTAGTGCTTTAATTGTGGTACTTAATAAACTTATGTGGGTTTGAGTAATGTTTTTGTCACAACTTTTTTAAGTTATATTTCATGTGGTACTTAATAAACTTATGTGGGTTTGAGTAATGTTTTTGTCACAACTTTTTTAAGTTATATTTCATTGGACTGAGTAGTGATTATTTTCTTCTTTTGTCTCTGGTGTTTATGCATTTTTCTTGTGATCAAAGCATTGGACTGAGTAGTGATTATTTTCTTCTTTTGTCTCTGGTGTTTATGCATTTTTCTTGTGATCAAAGACAAACCAGCTTAATGAAGCATACTGATTTATCACTACATGTGGCAGGATGCAGTTAGATGAATGTTGATATGTAGGCAGTGAGAGAATTTTTCTTCAATTTAATGCACCAAGTGTTGCTGCTGCATGAACTTGATTATGGAAAATATTTTTCATGGAGATTTAGTATTTGATTGGAATGTTTACTTGTATAAAAGTTGAAGATGATTTTGTTTAAGTTTTTACTAATTACTTTATGGACGTATGGATGGTTAGAATTTTGTATGCTTAATATTTTAACGTAAGAGGCAAACTGTTTTTCTTTCTTATTCACGAGTTCGACATTTGACAACATCTCAAGTTGTACCGTGAAATGGCCAGGCAATCTGTTTCCAGACCTTTTTTTTGTGCGCTCAATGAGATGAGTGAAAAACAAGTCATAATCCAAGTAACTGCAGTTTAACACAGTTGCAGCAATTCCAAATCAAATATCATTCAATCTGTTGTTAAACTGCAATGAATCTTTTGTGTTGATGAAGCACAAAACATCAAACATGCTCACCATTTTTACGCTTGATATGAACATCCACAAGCATAATACTATCATAAAAGAAATCAAGAAATCTGCAAGATACTCTGTAAAAGGTACATGCTATGAGTTCTAGCGAAAGAAAAGACCTGAAAGCATACAAACATCCTCAATATCAGATAAATCCTTGTGCGAGCACAAAGATCATAGACAAAACTTGTATGTCAATTGTCAAGACAGGGAGAGCATCACATTCCAAACCATTGTTAACAACACCAGTCAGCAAGAACGATCAGTACACTAAACATTATTAACTACAACATATTCATCCAGCAGTAGATGTGATTTTTACATAACAAAACCATTAAATATACATACACATCTACATCATTGCAAGAAATACCCAGACAAAAACAGAGCAAATTACATCGGGTTCTCTTTTAGCTCCAGGTTCTAATAAATTTTGTAGAAAGTGTGGCCTCGAGCTGTAAGTTCCAGGTTCTCTTTTAGGCTCGAGGGGTTATTTTTGATGCCCGCGTTCTATGCAATCTCCTCCTCTTGTCACCGCGTGTACCTCCTCTCTTCACTGCCGTGTGCTATCTCCACATCTTGGCCTAGCTTTGGCAGTTCCTTCAAAGTAAAATATTAGTCATAGGTGGGAAGAAAGTGAAAAAGAATACATAGATGATGAACATCTACTTATGCCAATTCCAGACATAAACAAAGAGACCAAATATATATATATATATATATATATATATATATACAAACACACACACACACACACACACACACACACACACACACCAGGATATCAAGAATGTGCACAATCCCGCTTATATACATGTTATATTCTTCATCCAATTCTTCTTTATAAACCTCGGGTTTCTGTTTAATCTAAGTAACTGTACATGAAATGATGTGCACTAATCACATAGTTAACATGGAACGACTTCCGTAAAACTATGAAAGATAACCGTGACCCGAAACATGTCCAATAAAGAGGGGTGCATCATCTAGTCGATGCTACAGTAGCAATAGCTAAGGAAAAATCTCATATCAGGATATTGATATTGAGAACATAGCCATGCTATGAAAGCACGCTTATAAACCACATTTTTACAGAAGTTGTCTTCATGCACAATGAATCCTATTAAACATCACTAGGTAACAAAATATAGAATCAGTCGATCCAATAAGCATTAAGAGATCAAAATAATATCATCAGTCATCTTAATAAACAGAAAATGACTAATTAGCATATTTGTTTAGTGTCAAGCAGGCTAAACAAATTTTAAATTTGACTCTATATAAATCTGTAAAACTAATTTCAGTGAGAAAGAGGCTAAAACAGGTTAAAAATAGGATATTAGATTCCAACTTGGTCAAACGGGTCTGTAATTTGGGGTTATAGGTCTAAACGGGTATAGGAAAAGGATAACGGGCCTGTAATTTGGAGTTATAGACCCAAACGGGTCTGAAAAATGGATAATTGGTCTGTAATTTAGTGTTATAGACCCAAACGGGTGTGGAAAATGGATAACAGATCTGTAATATGGAATTATTAAGGAATTTAAATCTCGGGTGATCCGTTATCTCAAATACTACACTTGGATGGCGACAATCAATGGTGGCGAAGAATGTTCCCAACAAATCCATTTCAAATATAGCTTTAAAGTTCGGAAAATCGATCACCAGGAAATCTGCGAATAGCTCTCTCTAGCAAATGATCAAAAGAAAGGCTTCCCAACCGCTGGATACTGCTAATATACCACTGCCAGTGTTGATATCCCGGCCCGAGGAAAGAGAAGTTACAGGAATAGAGCGTGTAGTTGTTAAGCGACGAGACAAGAAATAGTGGGAAGATTCAGAGTCAAAAAATGATAAAGTAGGGATTAAAACATAATTTATTAAGATAATAGGATAATGGCTCAAATATAGTCTTACGGATGAAATATGATATGCGTTTAAATTATCCATTATATTATCACTAGTAGGAACTCGGGACCATGACCTGCATGGGCCACCACTGAAACCTTTCATGCCCCGCTTCCCAAAATATCCGAGAGTCAGAACGCGAACAAGCCCGTGAACTCTAATGGTTGTCGCCTCTAATCTGTGTAACTCTTTTGCTGACTCTGTGCAGCAATGATACATTCTCGAATCAACATCACTTTCTCCATATTATGTCTTACGTGCTTTGGCCAATGTAGTAAGCTTTCCACCAGCTCTGCTTAACAAATCGAGGATCTACAAGGCCTCCCATACAATGCCTCATACGGTGTCATACGTATTGTCGCTTGATAACTATTATTATAAGCGAACTAAATTAATGAGATGTGATCCTCCCAACTACCCTAGAAATCAATAAAATATGTCCATAACATATCTTATAACACTTGGTTAACCATCACTGTTTGCCCATATGTCTACAGGTGAAAACCACTGCTATATGATAACTGGTTGCAGAACAAATTCTGGAAGGTCTTCCAGAAATGAGATGTGAAAACCAAGCAATGATCCAACACAATTATCTACGGAACTCCATGCAATAGAATTATCTCCCGCATGAAAATCTTCGCATAAGTCTCTGCCGTGTAGGTCATCTTCACCAAAAAAAATTAGCTGACTTCGTTAATCAATCAACTATCACCCAAATATAATCATTCTCCTTACTAGACCTTGGCAATCCTAGAATAAAATCTATCTAGATATCTGCCCACTTCAACTCTAGACTGGGTAAAGGCTGTAGGGTTCTTGCGTGTGTCTGATGTTCTGCCTTCACTTGCTGATAGGTAAAGCATTTAGCCACATACTCCGAGATATCCCTACGCATGCCGCGCCACAAAAAATGCCTCTTCAGGTCCTTGTAATTAAAATTATGCCTGGATGTATTTTGTAGTTAGTTTTCATTAAACCAACAAATAAAAGCTTTTGGACCTTTGAATTAAAACAATGGTTTATTTCACATTACCACTTAAACTTTGGGTGGTTTTTGACATAATCACACTAAACTATATTTATCTAACTTAACCCCCTAAATTTTGAAGTGCCTCATAAAGCAACCATGAACTTTGAACTTTTCTAAACGAGTTCCCCTATAGTTACTTTGAAAATAAATAAAATTTCCTCAGGAGTAAAAACCTACAATTTATGGCTAAAGAATTGATTCATATTTATGAATGGAATTATATTAGTCCTAGATGCCTTTTGAAAGTGGACATGAGAAAGGCAAATGATTCTCTAAATTGGGAGTGCTTGAATAATCTGCCCTCATGCATGGATTTTCCTCATGGATCCAGAAAGTATATAATAAAGTGTGTTGCTCCCATTTCTTTTTCCCTCTCTATGAATAGTCAAGTGAGTCCTATCTTTAGGGGCACTAGGGGTTTAGGGGCACTAGGGGGTTGAGGCAAGGTGATTCAATCTCACCATATTTGTTTGCACTTACCATGAAGTATCTCAGTAGTGGGTTTACAGATTTAGGAGATATTAAATGATTATATTTTCATCAAAAGTGTTAGGATTGAATCTCGGTTATTTATGCTTTGTTGATAGCCTTATGCTATTTTGCAAAGTTGATCCCTTATCTATTAAGCTTATTTGGGAAATGTTTATGTACTTGTTTAGTGTGTTATATCTTACAGTTAATGATTCTATGAGTGAAATCTATTTTGGTGGTGCTAACTACGAAATTAGCATGAGATCTTAAGTAAATTGCACTTTGTTGAGGGAGATCTACCTGTGAGATACCTTAGCACTCCTCTTTATTTCGAAGGCTTCATCAACTTATGAATCTAGGGTGCTTGAGAGAAGATCATTAAGATGGTTAACTGCTAGACTTCCAAGCTACTCTCATTTGCAATGAGACCATAAATTATCAGATCTATCCTATATCGCATGCACAATTTCTATAATTTTATATCTACTGTGCAGAACAGATAAGGAGAGACTTCCTATTGGCCAGTATGATAAACAATCACGAAAAAGCTAAAGTTGTATAGAATAATATACATTCTTCTAAAAGTCCTGGTGGTATTCGTCTGCGCTCTATGGGAATTTTTAATATTATGCTGATGCTAAAACATATATGGGCAAGCACTCTAAAGCACAGGATTGAAGTTTATACAAGGGTTCTATTTAAAATAAATTGGTTTTTTGGCTCATATTCTCAAGGTTAATCACGGCACTTTTGAAATTAAGGGTTGGGGCATTGAAATAGGTTGATATTAATAGCTCTAGATGTAAATCCTGGTGCAATGCTATGAGAATTAAAACTAAACTTTTG